GATGTTACATTTTGCGTTAACATTGACACAAAATATAATAACGCAAAATGAAATAATAAAAATCTTGTGTTTTACATTTTGCATTATTACATTCTGTGTTGAACTCCATGATCTCTACGCAAATATCAATAAAACAAAATGTAATAATCTCAGTTTATAATTATTACATCTTGCTTTGTTATTACATTTTGCGTTATAACAGGATAGTGTCCGCTTTATAAACAGCGAAGCGGTGTAAATAAGCTCTAGATGTTCCAACCCTGATTATACAACTTATTATATAACTTGGGTAGATTTTAAATTTATTCCTTATTAATATAGTTTAATTTTTGCAATTAAGTGTAAATCATTGTAAATCATACGTTTAAATCATTGAGTCAAATGCTGAGTGACGTTTTTCATACTAATTATTAGGCCATTATTTACACACTGAATTGTCGACGGTCGGCAGGGGATGCTCACTCCTCCATGACACCTGATCCCACCTCTGATGTTTTAGAGGTCCGTGTTTGCTCTGTACCTATTTTGTAATGTTTTATGGACTTTTGAGCTTGAATATTGTTCGTTATCTCCATATATTTCATGTATAAAGATAAGATAATTTCCCTTCAAAGACGCCTTCAACAGTTTAAATTGTACACAATTCAAGTGTAACGTTAAGCGGATTGATACGTTTTTGAAGTAGGTCATATTTTGACGTAGGCAACACAATTTATACGATATAAACTTATTTTCTATATCCAATCAAATAGCCCTTTACACTCAGAATTAGATTATTATGTAATATTTTAAACCAATCCAAAATTTCAACCTTTGAAATATTTAACAATATATTACAACATGTTTCACAGAGAGCCCAGCTGCACCTTTATCAAACAGAATAACAACTCAAGATGTTGCTTAATTCTCCGTAAAGAAAATTATAACTGTAGATAATATCCGAGAATTCAAGGTACATTATCCCCTGTTCAAAAAGTCTTCATTCTTCTTGTTACCAAAACTTAGCAAAAAGGGAAGAAAAGAGAAGAAAATGAAATATGGAGACAGCTTTTGAATGTGCGCTTTTGTCTAATACTGTAATTTAACATTATTTCAGTGTGTATTAAATCTTTTGTCTGATACTGTAATTTAACATTATTTCAGTGGGTATTATATCTTTTATCTGATACTGTAATTTAACATTATTTCAGTGGGTATTAAATCTTTTGTCTAATACTGTAATTTAACATTATTTCAGTGTGTATTAAATCTTTTATCTGATACTGTAATTTAACATTACTTCAGTGTGTATTAAATCTTTTATCTGATACTGTAATTTAACATTATTTCAGTGGGTATTAAATCTTTTGTCTAATACTGTAATTTAACATTATTTCAGTGTGTATTAAATCTTTTATCTGATACTGTAATTTAACATTATTTCAGTGGGTATTAAATCTTTTGTCTGATACTGTAATTTAACATTATTTCAGTGGGTATTAAATCTTTTGTCTGATACTGTAATTTAACATTATTTCAGTGTGTATTAAATCTTTTGTCTGATACTGTAATTTAACATTATTTCAGTGGATATTAAATCTTTTGTCTAATACTGTAATTTAACATTATTTCAGTGGGTATTAAATCTTTTATCTGATACTGTAATTTAACATTATTTCAGTGGGTATTAAATCTTTTGTCTGATACTGTAATTTAACATTATTTCAGTGTGTATTAAATCTTTTATCTGATACTGTAATTTAACATTATTTCAGTGGGTATTATATCTTTTGTCTGATACTGTAATTTAACATTATTTCAGTGGATATTAAATCTTTTGTCTGATACTGTAATTTAACATTATTTCAGTGTGTATTAAATCTTTTGTCTAATACTGTAATTTAACATTATTTCAGTGTGTATTAAATCTTTTGTCTAATACTGTAATTTAACATTATTTCAGTGTGTATTAAATCTTTTGTCTAAAACTGTAATTTAACATTATTTCAGTGTGTATTACATCTTTGAGGGAAGTTTTTAAAACATCAAAAGTACACAAACTTCCCGAGTGAAAATTGCTAAATAAAAGATAAAATGATATAAAATTACTACCATCTCTTTCCAAGTTGAGTATTTCATCTTTAAGAAAACAGTATTTATTTCATCGCGAAAAAATATGCATATATCGTAGAAATTTACGATTTTTATAACTGTACCATGCAAATGTTATCTAGTTTTAATCCTGTCATGGGTTAAACTGTATTTTCATGGATGTATAGTTGCTTGGGCTGAAATTAGCAGAATCTTGATTTAAAAAATGCAGATTCCAATGCATGCAAAATAATACATTTAAAAAATCTTCATAATTTTTTGTTTTGTTTTTGTTCGATGCATTTCAAGGTGCATTTCCTATGGGCGTCCTTAACCTTGCTAAAATGAAAAAAAGGTCTATTTCCGAAAAAAGAGACGCAATGTAACTTCCTTAAGGAGCAGGAAGAAACATTTTTAAAATTTACAAAAATTAGTTCCGCCACCGATTACGTACGTGACGATGGCACTCAACTCATTATCAGACATGTAAGTAGCAAAACCATTTTCTGGAAAGGTTAACATTCATAGAATATGATTTTTTATAACATTACAGAAATGTTCATACTCAAATAAATCCATTTTATAAAAAGAATTCATTTTTAAATAGTCTTCTTGAAAAGGTCAAGGAAAGTCCATTTTTTTGATTCCTCGACACCAGAATATAGGCTCGGATCTGTGATTATGGATATTGCAAATCATAGGCTTTTTAAACCCCCGCGTTTTACTGAAGAAAATGCAGCTAAAACAATCCGTTTTTTCCTTAAAATTCAATATGCCAACAAAGGGATTGACGCGGTTAATATAAGTAATATTCTTAATCACAAAAGGGTCCAGTCTTGTATTTCACCATATTTCAAGTTAAAGACTACACCTTGTATTTCCTACAAATATACATCGATTATTGCTTCCAAACTTTTTAATTACAAGAAAATTTTACAGGGCCTGGATATCGAATATCTGAAACATAATCCTCCATCGTGTTCATGTTCTCCTTACCCTATAACTATAGTCCTGCTGGACACGTTATTACTGATATAGTTAATAATGAGGACCTTAGATCACTAATTTTAAAAGGTCCTAAATTTAGGGAACCCCGATCCTTCACCTGGCGTCGGAATTTCATAAATATTATGGATTCTGTAGAGGACTACGCCAGGCGATGGGCCAGACATGAAAAAGAAGACCTTGACACTTTGTCAGAATGGATTAAATGTATCAGATGTATGTTAAAATCACGCATTAAAAGATTGAGGGGCAATATGAGAACCATCTATCCTTCTGTATTCAATAATCCAGAGGTGAAAAAAGAATTAGATAGATTACATGATCAGTACGTACTGGTCCCTGCTGACAAAGCAGGTAACAACATTGTCTTTGTTTGTAAGGCTCATTATATTAAATGTATTTTAGAGGAACTTGGATTTAATTCTATAAGTGGTAATCCAACTTAAACTCGTAGTTCCCTTTCTAAGGAAGAAATTTTTCAAAATCATATGTCATTTTTGAATATTTTTAATATTCCAAACAACCAAAATGAATTTGAATTACCATATTTATATTGGATTCCGAAACTTCATAAAAATCCTTAAATACAAAGATACATAGCGGGTTTCAGTAAATGTTCAACCAAGCCTCTTTCTTTACTCCTCACTAAGATATTAACAGTGGTGAAGGAGAAACTTCAAAAGTACTGTGCAACAATATATTCGAGAAGTGGTGTAAATCAGATGTGGATACTTAAAAATTCCAAGGCACTTTTGGAAAGTTTGAAATCACAAGATTTTACCAAAATCAACAGCTTAAAAACTTACGACTTTTCTACTTTATACACAACCATTCCCCACGATAAATTAAAGTCCAGGCTTTTTGATATCATTGACAGCTGCTTTTTCAATAAAAATGTAACTCGTAAATATACTTACCTTGTCAGTGGTCATTTGCAAAATTATTTTGTTAAAAAACATTCTGATTGTACACACAAGTAATCTGAAGTTGACATTAAAAAGATGCTTGAGTTTCTGATTGACAATATCTATGTGGTTTTTGGAGACCAGGTCTTCCAACAATCTATTGGAATTCCCATGGGTACCAATTGCGCCCCGTTATTAGCAGACCTTTTTTTGTATTCATATGAAGCAGAATTTGTCCAAAATCTTGTACGTGAAAAGAAGAAAACACTTGCTGTGGCCATCAACTCGACATTTAGATATATCGACGATGTATTGTCAATTAACAATGGCTATTTGGATTCTTATGTCGATACGATATATCCTGGTGAGCTTGAGGTAAAAGATACCACAGAGTCTGACATATCTGTTTCATATTCGGATATTTTACTTGAAAAAGACGTTAATGGTAATCTAACAACCAAGCTTTATGATAAACGTGATGACTTTAACTTTTCAATCGTCACTTCCCTTACTTATGCAGCAATATACCTTCATCATCTGCATACGGAGTATATATCTCTCAGTTGATTCGATACGCAAGAGCATGCTCTACGTATGTACAATTTCTAAAACGAGGTAAATAATTGACAAACAAGTTGATGAAACAAGAATATCAGCTGTCTCGTTTAAAGTCATCATTTCGTGAGTTCTTTGGTCGATACAATGACCTTGTCAGCAAATACAATTTATCATTGAGTCAAACGCTGACTGACGTTTTTTCATACTAATTGTTAGGCCATTATTTACACACTGAATTGTCGACGGATTTTTCTGTTATTTCCCGATCATGACAAGGAGCACACGGCGGGTGTGACCGGTCGGCAGGGGATGCTCACTCCTCCATGGCACCTTATCCCATCTCTGATGTTTAGAGGTCCGTGTTTGCTCTGCTCCTATTTTGTATTGTTTAATGGACTTTTGAGCTTGAATACTGTTCGTTATCTCCATATATTTCATTTCAGTGCATTAGGTGTACAACATATGTCAGAGTCCGTGTTCATGGGTCTCTGTCGAAAACTGGGGACTTCACAACTGGTGGCCATGAGAAGAGAGACAGAAGACATCTACCACAAAGTAGTGTTTCCATCATCAGAATACAGCGTCTTGAGTATTTTGAGTAGTGGAAGTATGAAAGAAGGATTCAGACAAGAAGGATCTGATTTTGATTACATGCTTTGGTTTAATGAATACAAAGTGATTTGGAATTTACCCCAGTCTCAAATCTACCGGAGAGAAAGTCTTATTTTAGCCAACTGCACCAATAGCCCACCGGGATTTGCTTTACTTCAGCCATTGACACCATTTCTAGCATATGAATTTATTTCCTCTTCTTGTATCAGAAAGAATAGTAGACTTTACATATCTAGTTCTAAATACAAGCAGAACATGTCTTTACGTGAAAGACAATATATGGGGGGTCATTGTTTTCTGCATGGACCCTGCACAAGTGGGATGCACCAAGGGGAACCATTTGATAATGCCCACTGTTTTTCCAGTGACTTTTGGCCTCCCGCTGCCTCTTCGTGGATTGATAGATGCAACACATGGCCTCGTCCGCATGTTGTTCAAGAGATAGTGAAGAAGGGATGTCACTTAGTAGCGATAGGACACAAACTTGGAAAACATGAAGATGAAGAATGGAGAATTTCGTTTTCTTTCGCAGAACAGAGACTTGTATTTGAATTCAACCATAGTCAATTCCTTGTTTACGGGTTGCTTAAGATGTTATCAAAAGAAATTTTCCATAAATTGTCTGGGGATGAAGGTAAATTGCTGTGTTCATACCACATGAAGACAGCGGTCTTCTGGGTTATTCAACAAAATACAATATCTTTCTGGTGTCCGCAAAATCTCTTGGAGTGTTTCTGGGTCTGCTTTAAACTAATTCTTAAATGGGTGTACGAGGGAGTATGTCCTAACTTCTTCATTCCAAAAAACAACATGTTTCTCCATAATATATATGGTGAAGCACAAAAGAATTTATTCAATAATCTATATGAACTACATCAGAAGGGAATAGCATTTTTACTTCATAGTCCCTCTATCAGGTCCTACATTACAGATGCCCTGTATAATTTTAGACTTCCCATTTGTACAGACGAGCGCATTCTTATCTCAGAGGTTGAGTTTGATGTAGAACTCTTCAATGAAATCAATAAAAATTATGGAGAGGGAAGTGAAAAACTACTAGAAGTTATACCATCCGTACGGACAGTGGAGCAGTTGATAGGCTCACCCCTGACAAATTATCAAGTCATCATGTTACAGAGAGAAATTGCTAACAAACTTCAGACAACTGCTTTTATTTTACATAAAATGTACATGAACAGTACTATAAACAAGTTGGTTTATGTTTCCGACAAAATGTCCTGTTACATGGTAAAATTAGCAGCCAAATTTGGATTCATTTCTGACACGTTGTATATTGCTATGCATTATTACAACACATTGCGGTACACGGAAGCTTTGTCTGTTATAAAGAAGATAAAGCTCAAATTAGCACAACCATATATAATGCGTCATAAAACAGTTTACGAAGACATCTACACAGCAGCTGTAGGGGGAGAAGCCTGGTCTACAAAAATGAGACAGGCTGTAGCAATGCAAATCAAACTTGGCAAAAATTGTTACATCAATGAATTAATACCAGAAATTCAGTTCAGTAAACTAAACGGCGAGCAGGTCTTAAATGTCGGAGACCTTATAATGTTACATATGCTAGAGATTTTGTGTTATATCCATTTGGACAGAACAAGAGCACAAACAGTTCTAAATGATCTACAGTTTTTCGTCAACTATAATGAGAGAGGGGTTGCTGCAGAGAGAATAAAAGACATATCATGGCAAATTCTGGGAATCTGTCAACAGGCCACAGGAAACCACCGGGCTGCCCTGTTCTCATACCAACAATCGCTCAGACAAGAACCATTCCATAAAATACAACAAGCCACACTGATGAGAATACAATCTCTATATTCAGATTTATGATGGCATATTGTAGAGGAAAATAAAAATCCTGAGGCTCAGCTGACAAGGATCAAGCTCGTCAATTACTGACCAGCGTCATCATTGCTTTTATTTGCTTAATGTATACAACTGTACCTATGCTAAGTTGGCATTCTTTGTTTACATTTCATAGTAGAATAATTAAAAGTTCTCCCAGTACTTCTAGTACGGTTTTCAGTTAAATCAATAAAATAATGAATCTGATTTAAGTTGCCTTGAATTTCTTTGTATGTTTTATTCGATGTCTGCAAAAAAATAAATAAATAAATAAATAAATAAAAATAAAGATTAAATTGTCATGTCATATATTGCTCATTATTAAAATATATATAGTATTTGGCTGTTTAGCTTATTTTTGTGGTAAAAAATAAATGAATAAAGTCCGAAGTCTAAATATGATAGATAATAAATGTTCATGGCGCAATAAGAAAGATATCAATTTCCTTGTTCACACAGCCCACAGCTCTGAACATACACTGATTTATAGTTATGAAGGAAAACAAGAAGGAGCGTGAAGAAATAGGAATGGATTTGTAAGAAGCTCAGTTAGGAGTGAATTAAATACTTTCATACGATATATGTAAGAAATGTGTGCGAGATTGATTGGCTTACTTTTTTATGCAGAACTATAGCTTTTATTTACAACAAATAGCATATTTGAGGAAGTGAGAGTATAGAGATCGCTGCTTCGATGAAAATAAGGAAGATCTCAAAAGAGGACAAGTAGAAACGTGATAAAAATAACCTCCACATCGGGTCTGAAAGTGAGTTGAATGCAAAACCAAAACACATAACGAGACTCAAACTTGTTGCGCTTCTCTTTGAAATCAACATTTACAGAATTAGGTACCTTGATCTTTTTGAAGTCTTAAAATTCCTCATTCTTTAATGCTTTTCAAATATTTTTTCAAATGTAAACTAAATATCTGTTTCATATTTGGATATTTTATTTAAGAAAGACGTTAATGGTAATCTAACAACCAAGCTTTATGATAAACGTGATGACTTTAACTTTTCAATCGTCAACTTCCCTTACTTATGCAGCAATATACCTTCATCACCTGCATACGGGGTATATATCTCTCAGTTGATTCGATACGCAAGAGCATGCTCTACGTATGTACAATTTCTAAAACGAGGTAAATTATTGACAAACAAGTTGATGAAACAAGAATATCAGCTGTCTCGTTTAAAGTCATCATTTCGTAAGTTCTATGGTTGATACAATGACCTTGTCAGCAAATACAATTTATCATTGAGTCAAATGCTGACTGACGTTTTTCATACTAATTGTTAGGCCATTATTTACACACAGAATTGTCGACGGATTTTTCCGTTATTTCCCGATCATGTCAAGGAGCACACGGCGGGTGTGACCGGTCGGCAGGGGATGCTCACTCCTCCATGGCACCTGATCCCACCTCTGATGTTTAGAGGTCCGTGTTTGCTCTGCTCCTATTTTGTATTGTTTAATGGACTTTTGAGCTTGAATACTGTTCGTTATCTCCATATATTTCATTTAGAAAGTAAATAGCAGAAATCAACACTCGCAAAGCTTGCCTAGAAAATGTAAGTGAGGCAATATGTTACAGTGAGTGGACTAACTTGCCGTTTGCAGGATGGGGTTCATTTGGAGTAATATTAAAAGTTGCAGGAAATGATATTTTTTATAATCGCTATTTTTTTTTTAAGTAATAACCTAAGATATAAAAATAGACGAATTTTTTAAAGTTATCATATCTGAAAACTAAATGTGTTCGGCAAAACCTTATGATATTCAGACAAATTTCAAAAAATCAGAAAAAAAAGTAATTGAACATTCGATTTAGGTAATATATAAACAAAAACATCCCTTTTAAATGTCATATTCATACGACGTAATATCAAAGTTTTTTTCAGTCAAGACTGCATTATTCATTTTTGCTCACCTGAACCAAAAGCTCAAGTGAGCTCTTCTGATTGAAGGGTTTCCGCCGTTTATTGTCTGTTGTGACGCCTGTAAACTTTTCACATTTTCGACTTCTTTTTAAGAATCATTGAGTCAATTTTAACCAATTTTGTCACAAAGCATCCTTGGGTGAAGGAGATTCAAATTCATTCAAATGAAGGGCTACGCTTCTTTCAAGGAGCGATGATACAGAATAAGTGAAAATTGAATGGCATCTTTTAAAATCTTCTTCTCAAGAACAACTGTCAACACCTAGAAAAGCTAAAACTTAAGAGAAATCTTCGTTACAGAATGAAAAATTAAAACTAAAGTATGTTGAAATTTTGACCTCTGAGGGGTAGGGTGGAGCCACAGGAAATCAAATTACACAGAGGCATATTTAGGAGATATCTTCGAAAATCTTCTCTTCTCAAGAACCGGAAAGCCATGATGAGGCTCATAATACAAGAGAAGCATTCTCCGGTAGTGTAGATTCAATTGTGTTCAAAACATGACCCCGGAGAAGGGTGGAGTTATAACAAGGGATCAAAGTTATACATAGGAATATCAGTATAAGAGATAACTTCGAAAAACGTCTTCTGAAGAAATGCAAAGCCATGATTAACCAACAGAAGCTCAAACTTATACATAGGAATATCTAGGAGATATCTTTGAAAATTTTCTTTGATTTTCAAAAAACCACAAAGCCATGATTAGTCTCAAAATACTACAGAAGCATCCTCAGGTAGCGTAAATTCGATTTTGTTCAAAACATGACCCCCAGGGTTAGGGCGGGTCGTAACAAGCGATCAAAGTTATACATAGGAATATATAGAAGATGACTTCGAAAAAAATCTTCTCAAGAACTGCAAAACCATGATTAGTCTCATAATAATACAAAAGAATCCTAGAGACATAACCCGCGGGTTGGTTTGGGCCACAATAGGGGATCAACGTTATATATAGAAATATATATGAAAAAATCTTCTTTTAAACCATGATTAGGCAAAGAAATATGGAAGCACCCTCAGTTAGTGTAGATTCAAGTTTTTTTTTTCAAATCATGACAATCTTGGGGGAGGGGTGGGTGTAGGTTGGAATTACTTATGTTTTTTTTAACTTTTCAAACCTTTTCAATGAACTGGTTTCTTCTTTTCTCTCGCCAAAGTGCTCCGGTGAGCCATGTGGCCCATGTACCTCTTGTATTATATCATAACATATGCGTATTACAAAAGTTTTTATGACATCTTTTTCAAACTCTCTATCAATATTACAAAATCAAATTTACATATTAAGGAACTTGATAAATTTTAAAATGGGGAGAAAGGGGTTATATACTTCTGAAATATGAATGGAATATAGCTATTTTTTAATGACATGGGCAAAAAAAGTAATATAATTTGGGGGGGGGGGGAAATAATTCCACCACTTTTTAGACTAGTGACGGTGGCTCTCACCACATCTACAGACATTAAGTAATAACGTTGCTAAATCCAATCTCTTTAAAATCAATTGCAGTGATTTAAAATTTCATCGTCAATTTCTTTCTGGTATAGGCTACATAAAATCTTGGATCTTTCTGGATCTGTTTTAAACTGTTCCTTAAATGGGTGTACGAAGGGGTATGTTTCAACTTCTTTATACCAGAAAATAATACATGAATGTTTCCATATATTGTCTATGGTAAGCAACAACACAATTTCTTCAAAAATATGATCAATATGAAAAGAAAATAATAAAATACACCAGTTTTAATACTGTTTATTGTCAAATAAAATCAGGAAAACTCAAAATGTAGTTTTGACAAATTATAATCAGAGGAGACAATCTCTGCTTCATTGTCTGGGTTATAATGTCCTTTATAATTTAAGGTCGTCCATGTGTACAGATTGATTGCAGAGGTTTAATTTAAAACTGAAATAAATACAAATTTTAAAGATACTTGGCATTATGCAATTCTTATATACAGTATTAACAGTTGTTTGGTTCACAGCTGACGAAGTAACAATTTAATAATCATGTTACAGAGATACACAGGTAAAAGACTGATTTTATTTTTTACAGTAGCGTGAATAGTTCGGTTTGATGCACATGGTTCCACTGCGGCAACGTCTCCACCGAACGCAGTAGTCTCCCCTACCTGAAATAAACACAAGATGTTACAGAAGCATTAAATTTGTAGGTGAAATTCATAAAATCTAAACTTTAACCCTCAGGGTGTCTTTTGATGTTTCAATTTTACGACTAAACATATACAATTATTTAAGCAATATCAACTAATTTAAATATTCTAGTAGGGATTTTTTTGTGATAAAATCAGTGTTATAAATGAGTGATGATATCCCATTTCGAGTGTATCCTCCACGGATTCCTTGCTTTTATTACTTATATATTGCTATATATTAAATGGAAATAAGCCACAACACCAAGCCAAATCACACTATCGTTATCATATTTCAATTTTAAAAAGAATAGCATATCTTTTAATAATAAATAGAAAAGGACCATTAACTTCTAGAATAAATTTTGAAAGGTCGACAAGATTTTTGTCTAAATTTTGTGAAGTTTATTTTACTTAATCTGATTTACTTTCAGTCTTGTACCAGATAGGCGCAATATTTTGTTTTAAGAACTTCAACTAATCCAGGTACGACTAAAACTAAAAGTTTTACATAAAGATGTTCATAAAACATACGTGTACAGTCCAGTCCAGTCCATCCATTGTCACACGTGCACGTGTATGTGGTATCTGTATTGATGCACGTGCCTCCATTCTTGCATGGCATAGACTGACACGCTGGTTCTATGAATAGAAATTCTTAATTAGAATAAATATTCCCCGTAATTATATATACATTACATTGAAAAAAGAACATGCAGTGAGTGTAAAATGAAACATGGGCATAGAATTAGTCAAGGAAATCAACATGCTTATGAATTGTTAGTTTTTTAGAAAAGCTCACAATAATTCTTGGAACTTCTAATATCAGTCTTAAAAAACTTCTGGATAAGAGAGAAATAAAACCTTAATTCCTGATCAAATATTTGCAAAATAAATGAATGCGAGCCGTTATTATCGTTGTAATTAGTGAATCTTATACACACATATATAAACATATACTGGATATGAAGATTTAAAAAAAAAAGAAGTCAATTCAAAAATTATAATTTCGTTATTTTTTCGTTTATTTCATACGAAAGGTGCCATTTGTACTTTATCATGTTTGATAACATTGTCCTAATGTCACGAAGCCTAACCCGCACCAAATGTGAAGATATCCAAACAAAACATTACTATAGAGATATATGATAGTTAACTAGAGATTAAGATACAAGTAATTCACTAATAAAAGTTTTTAGTTAACCATTGTTAAGATACATGTAATTAACTATTACTTATTAAAGCAAAGGATGATTTATTATTGTTTTTATTGTAGTTTATAAAACATATAATGCCCCCATCGTCACTAAAACAGTTGTTACTTTTTTGTTTAAATAGCATGTTTTGAAACACATTGGTAAGGGAGCTACGGTTTATTATAGTTAACAATAAACTATAGTTTAAGATATATGTGATTCTCTTAAGTTTTTCATAGTTTACGACTGAACTATAGTTTATAATGATGCATATAATTAAAATTAAATTTTAGTGAATGGTAGATTATTATTGTTAACTAATATTTATTATACATATACAGGAAGTTTGTAATAGTTAATAATAGTTACTTTACGATCAATAGCACACACTCAAACTTTTATACTTTACTTTACTTTGATACTTTGATCTACTGAAGTTCTATAATCAAGAACTAAAATGCTTTATTCGCGAATTTTCAATGATTTTAGGGCATGTGTATCCATCAAACTCCATTTCAAGTTTTTTTTTTAATTTTTGAAATAATGATATTTGATAATACATGTGATATTGATCATCTTTTAGAATAAAAAAAATCGCATCATTCATTCATTGGAGATTTGCAAGATATTGGATACAATATTTACTGTAAGTAGAATCTTTGATTTATTATCATAATACACATGTTCACAATATCTGGAATTTTGTTACTTTGATTTACAGTAGTAAATTAAACTCTGAAAAACTATAGTTTATTTCATTTATATTCTGAAAGATATACAAAATTAACCAAAATTTGCGAAATTTTTTTTAGAAAGACCAAATAACTTTCTCGCGTACACAAGGATCTCGAAGCTTTATGATCTTTATTTGTTTCATTAATTGGTTTATTTTTAAAATTGTGTAGATTCAAATTATTATAAGATAATCTACTGGAAGGAAATTATTCCAACTTTTAGACAAATTAGAGGAAATATGTTGCGGAATAATTCACATAAAACAATAAGCAAATGAAGAAGACTTTAAATGACAAGATCCGTGGTTAATCAGAATACTGCTTTGAAATTAGCTACATGGATAACTTTCAATACATGTCAAAAGTGTTTCGAATCAGGGGCGTTCCCGAGGAGCAAAGTCTTATATACACCCGATTGTTGTAGCGTTGGAAAGCCAATTAACTTCATTTTCAATGAATAAACGTTGAAGGATTTGACCATAAAATTAGAATTTCTCAGATATTGGACATGCTCCTTATACCCAACTTCAACATTTTTTAGTCTTGATTGGTATTAAATAATACAGAGCGTTACTCATTTTCTGACGACATTTAGATCCTGTCCACCCAGACGGACATGTACAGTAGCGTGAATAGTCCGGTCTGATGCACATTTTTCCTCTGTAGCAATATCTTCGAACCGGAAGACAGTAGTCACCTCTAACTAAAGTAAACTGTACATGTACAAGATGTTACAATGATTGTAAGTATGGCGTCACAACGATTTAAGTGTGACTTGACCTCACAATTATTTCAAGTAAGAACGCAGTTTCAACTCTACCTGATGTAAGTACAAAATGTTACAAGAGTTTTCAAAGCATCAAATAATCCAAAACTGAAAGCTTTGAACAATGATGTATATAAAACATACGTGTGCAGTCTTGTCCACTCCACCCATTGTCACACGTGCACGTGTATGAGGTGTCTTTATTGGTGCACGTCCCTCCATTCTTACATGGCATGGACTGACACGCAGGTTCTTTATTTCAAAGAGAATAAAAGTATTCAGTAATACTATTTTATCTTTTGAAAATAATCATAGTACTAGTAAATGCAAAATTGAATATAAACATGGACACAGAATTTTTATCGATAAAATTTTAATAAATTGTTAATTTCTCACGAGAGCTCTCTATGATGTTCTTAAAACTTCAAATATTCGTCTTAAAAGTTTTGGATGATGTGGTAATTAAGCCTAAATTCCTGATAAAATATATGTAGCATAAAAAATGCCAACCTTTATCGATGAAATAAATAAATCTTTGCATTACATGTAAAATTCAATACTAAATATGAAAATTTTAATTTATTTATTTGGTTTTGTTTTTACATGAACGACGCCACTCGCACTTTATATAGTGTCAATATCTTGACGTCACCGACGATCCCAAATGAGTGAGTACGGTTTTGGCTTTATTGTGCCCTAAAAGTTTGATGTTTTTTAAACAAATTGAAAGAGGGTGTTGCAGAAACTCGCGATTATTCCCTAAATCGAGAAGGACATTTAAATACTCACGATGCATGAAGAGTTATCTCTAAATATAGATAATGCCTACGTAGATTACATTCTTTCCCTCTCCCTCCCTCCCTCTCTCTCTCTCTCTCTCAAGAGAGAGAGAGATGCTACATTGTACTTCCATTATATAAGAAAAAATTATGCATATAAATGTATATATATACACCAGCCATTCCAGGATTCGAACCCATTCTCGGGTAAAAAGAATCTCTGCATAGAGTCCACACGCTTTACTACTAGACCAGCTCCGACACTGAAGTATCTTGAGCTATTTTATGTGCACATTTTGCATTTTGGAGGGATAATATTTTTTATTCGATTTTTGTGATTTTCAAAAATATGTCTCTTTCAAACAAAAATCGGAAATGGCAGTTTTGGAGAAAAAACCTGTCTCTTTATGCGTATATCAAATTCATTCTGTTTCAAGGAGGCAATTTTTCAGAACAATGGGGATTCCCTATTTGAATTACAGAAAGCTCGACTTATTTTGCTATGTGACTAATTTACACTCCATTTAATGGTAAATTGGAAGTCAATATACAGTTTCTAAATATTATTCTACATTGTGCTGTATATACCGTTGCATCTGAAAAAAAAATTTAAACCGTTTTTCTCTTACTTAAAATTTTTCTTTTAAACTGCTACAACTTTAGGGAAAATAACAAAAGAACTGCAGCACCCTCTTTGATTATTAGTATGAGTTGAATATATGATTGTGATAAATCAGGAAAGAATTCGGCATAAGAGGGACCACTCTGGAAATATGACGTCATCAAGTTGTACATTTCTAAGTTTTACACAGAAAAGCCTCAAAATAACTCATTTAAGGGGTTACTAATATTTTCATAAAGAAAATAGTATCCACAGCCGTATCCACAGCCGTCGCCAACTTCAATATTTAGAATGTTGTGTAAAAAATTTTAAGATATCACATATCTTATAATTTTTGTTATTAATGCATGTGAGATAGTCTGGAAAAAAAATCAACTGAAAATTGAATATCTTCTGCAAATTTTAAGAAAATACGGAAAATGGACAACTTCATGACGTCACAATTGGCATTTAGGAGGATATACGAAAAACATGTATGATCTTCCTGCATTGACTTTAAACAATTCAGAAAGCATGTGTTTCAATTTCTAAGTAAGAAGGATAAATTTAAAAAAAAAAAAACCAATAACTCAGAAAAAAAAAGAAAGAAAGAAAAGAAAAGAACTGATTACATCACTAAAAATTCCCTACTTAAGTATCCGAATTAGTTAATTATTAGTTATTATTGCTTAAATTTACTCTGTCGAAACGATAGTATAATCGATTAGAAAACCTGTAATCGGTTAGTCTGAAAAATGTGTAAAGGATCCACTGTAAAAAATGTGCTTAGGAAATAAACACTTCCATTACGTGTTTCGATCTAAACGTGTTTGATATTGTGTTTAACAACAAAACACTTATGTCTAAATGTATTTAAAATTTTTACGCGTTTAGATATTGAACATGTTTTTTGTTTTAAATTCGGTCAAGTGCAGAGTTATCTTCCCGGAAATTATACATATTTGAACGTTAATAAGCGCGGTTGTCGAAACAAAGAAAGTCACAACAAAACAGTAAACGATATTTTCAAGAAAGCTGATGAGAACTTGAGTGCCAACCACCGCAGAAATAGTGAAATACATGTGAAAGGCTTATTGTTATTGATATCATAATGTATGTATGCTTTTGTTTATATATAAAATGAACATGATGGTCAAAGTAAACAACATTGCATGTCTTTCGGTGTCGTATCATGTATTCATTAATGAGAGTAAATATTGAATCTGTAGTTGCAATAATATTGATTTAAACATTTTTATTATATGCTTAGTAATTAATGTAAAACTTCAGCATGTTTATGAGGAGCACATACTGTTACTTAAATGCAACGTACGTCCTTTCTTACAGGTTAACGTATTTGGATAGCCTAGAGAAAGAACTCTGTTAATGGATCTGAAAGAAGAATTATACTGCCATAGAAAATACTTTCAAGATTATCCAGATACTCTGCTGTTTTGTTTACATCACGACTGATTTGAAATAGTGAACCTTACTGCATCACACTGCAAGAAGCACGCCATAGCTGGAGTCTTTTAAATATATTTACTTTGTATTGTGCTACTGGTACAAAATGCAGACAATTCAACAACTTGGGTGTTACTTACTCTTTAGATGCCAGTAGTTTTATATGTCAGAACTTCCAAAAGACTATCACTTTACTGTGTGTTAGGTTTTTTTTAAAAAAATCATTTTAATATGATGTTTAGAACTACATAAAACTTTTTATACACCTTTTATACTTTTACTTTTCTTGCAGATCTTTGTTTAAAACATTGAAGTGTTTAGCTTCTAAACACAAATCTAAGTGTTTAGAATTGTGTTTAAACTCTAAACATATAAGTATTTAGGTTTAAAACACTTTCCATTACGCGTATTGGAATTAAACATGTTTAAAATTTAAACGCATTAAAAAAGTGTGACAAGAATGTGCTTAGAAATGTGTCTATCATCTAAACACATTTTTTACAGTGGATGACTGCACTTAACGCCTGTTTTGGGGTCTTTTTCGGTTGCTTCTGTTGCTTTTATATCTAAACCTTATTTCACTTTTGTATGTTTATGAAAGAATCCTGTCAATTTGTAACCAAATTTAAATCTTAAAATGATTTTAGACTGTGATACAATAAAATGATTCAATGTTTTTTGTTCTTACTGCTTTCCAAATATAGTGAATTTACACTTACCTGCCCTTGATTGAACATTAGATATGCATGAGAGGTGTAAGAATGGGTCTAAAATTAGACGTGATAAATAACAATTACGTTTGGAAAAAAACGTGATCACTCTTTCCAATCTCCCTCTCCATTCTGTATGGCACAAATACACTTCTGACAAAAGTTTCAAAACGAAATCAACAATATGAGCACGTCAATGTAATTAAAGCAGATTTTATGTCAATGCAAGATGACTTAACGTGTTCCAACACAATGTCCTAGTTAGCACAAAACATGCTACCTTACAAGTCACATGACGGAATTCACAAAGTTACCTGAGGTAAGAAATCACGTGGTGAATTATAATATTCAACATGTCACAATCCTTGGTAACAACACAGAGAGCAAATGTAAGAAGAAGCAGTTTTTTTCTCTTTTTAACCATGAGCGCATGTTTGTCTATTATTCTCCTTTTGACACATTATTATCTATGCAAATATACAACTACTGTTTAACGTAGAACAATAGACAAACATGCGCTGACTATGTATAAAGTCAGTAAAAAAGTGGGCGTCCTCATTATCGAACGGAGATTCAAGAAATTATGATGACCCCTGCCTTTGAAAACAGATTCAAACTTCATAAATACACACTTTTATTAAACGTAATTACATAAAGTTGTAGATTGGATGTTGACCATTCTTGCAATGAAAAGAAAAATGCTTGTTTTGAAAGTTTATTTTCTCGCAAATTTCGCATGTCCTTAAGTGCAGTCATCCTTTCCTTAAAATTTAATCTACAGTGTTAAAAAACCTCTGAAAGTTGAAAAGTCTAACATATTTATTTCAGCTTAATTGGAGGTATATGTAATTAATTAAGGCTCTCCGGATTGAAATCGTTGAGGGTAATTGATCTAGGCCCTATTTGTGAATTGTTAATTGCTTTTGAAATACCATGTTGCTATCAGCCTGTCTCGTATTTGACTAATTTTATCAAATAAATCACCGTTGAGTACTGGAAACTGATTACAATTTATCATTGGAGGTTATCTGTCTAATTATATTTTTGAACAAACATTGTCAATTAAGTGATAGTTTCTGTATATGGTGACTATGCAGAATGACCTTGCGAACATTTGGTCTGAAAAATTATCTGTGTCTTTAATATCTCAGTACGGAAGCCGGTTGGTGCCAGGTAGAAAAAATATTTTATCTGGCCAGAAAGTTATCTGGCGGCCGCCATATAATATGTTTCATGGTTTTCTGATTTTTTTTCCCCTTTTGAAGTTGAAATAAAATATAGAGTGTACTGATCAAGCATATAAAGAATATTGCTAACGTCTTTTCTTTCTTCTTTTTTTTTTTAAAGTAAACTTGTGTATATGATAAGAGTTTACTTTGGGGGGGGGGGGGTCAGGAAAATGTGTATTTTGACCTTTCTTTTTTGCGGGACCAGTCGTGGTATCCTAGAGGTAGGGCACTTGCTTCGTGATAGGGAGATCTCGGTCTCGATTCTCGTTCCCGGCACCGCGTCAAACCTACGATGTTTAACATCGGGAGTAAGTGTTCCTTCGCCAAGCACCCTGCACTAAGATGAAAACGAAAATCGCGAGTCTTTCGGATGAGACCTTAAAAACCGAGGTTTCATGTCGCAATAAAGATCCCTCACTGCTACGGCAGTAAGCGCCATGCATGAGTCAAAATATGTGGCACTCCACCTAAAGCAGGCGACGTTTCCATATGAGTGAAAAAATCTCGAATGAGACGTTAAACAACATAATCAATCAACCAATCTTACCCCGTGAACTCCGTGCCAGTATGACAGATACCAACAGAAAAACCTGGAACAGTAATAAAAGATTATTATTTATTACATTAGGTAAGCTTAATTTTACCTGTACATTTTTTTAATCTTTTAAATGCTTAAACAATTATCTTTTATTTCACATGTCTTGTTTACCTAAATAGCATAAGGAAAAGTTTGTTTACAACAAATTGCAGTAATGGTTGATTATTTCATCTTTTCAGTAAAAATTCTATTTTATATCTATGTATATAACGTACCAGAAATAGGCGCAGAAACAACAATGTTTATGGCTCAAGTTGAAATGTCTAGCTTTATTCCTTACTTTTATAATCACAAAGGAAATTCTAATTAATATGGTGCACAGCTGTATTAATCCGAAATAAACCACGAACCTATCCAGAACTCACCGTCATTATCATATTTCTAATTATGCTGAATATTAAAAATTAAAAATTTATTTTTCAATAATAGAAAATTAACTTCTAGAAATATTTTTTAAGGTAGGAAACATCTTGTCTGAATATTCGTAAACATTTGTTTATAGTCCATAAAGTCGTTCACCGATGTAAAGAGCACACTGTACATGAATTCACTTGTTTTGTGGTTTATAAAATATATTGCTTCATGAGGGTTTGAAGAAGTGTAGAATTTCTCATGATGCAGTAGTTTGAAATTCTAGCATTTTTGGTCGTCATACCACGATAACTACGAAAATTACCCCCCCCCCCAAAAAAAGAATGATTTTAATTCAGATTTATGAAGGGTTACAATTGTTTTTCTTTCTTTACTCGTGTATCATTGTTTATCGTGTGACTTACAGATAGCATTTTGTCATGTTATAACTTAAAAACGCATATTTATATTGAACTAATAGACTCATTGTACATTTTTTTAAATATTTACTTTAAGATATAGTACATCATCTTTTGATAAAAACCAAACATGCTTCATGCATTGAGAACACAATCGGAGTTTTCTTTGCGCATCAAATATTGTATTGCAGCAATTTTCAGTATCGTGTATGTCCTTCTTTTGCACCAATTCCAGATTAAAAACATCGTATCATGGAGTTGATGAGCTTGTTAATGGTAGTTGACTGATGAATATTGTTCCCTTCATGCAACAACTCTAGTCTCGTTCAACCAGACACTCGGCTGTCTCCGTAAACTCCGAAGAGCTCGTCGGAGTTTACGGAGACAGCCTAGTGTCTGGTTGAACGAGACTAGCAATAACGCCTGCTCTAAATCCTGGATGGTGTTTGATGGATTGGGGCAGCGTCCAACTCATTCCAATGTACAATAGAATTAAGGTACTGTGAGAATACTGGTCATTCATTCATTGGATTTTACAATTATTCTCGGTTAGCAACTCTGTGTGCAATAATAACAATAGCTATATGCGGTAGATTCCTCTGAAATGCGTATCCCTCTAATGTAGTAAGACCCACAAATTCTCTTCATCCTTAGTCATAAAAGAACAAACAGTCAAAAAGGATTGTAAAAATCATCGATAATACGGTATTTTTAATAGTTGTAAACGATCCGAACCATTGACAGTATTCAGGTGTCATTCTTATTCACTCTTGGTTGAAAAGTTTGAGTAAGTCGCCGATTTAACTAATCGTAACTAACTAAATACGCCGCTGATAATAATTATGGGAATCCATTCTTTAAAGCTGCAGTATCTGAGGATGCCTGCAAATTAATATGTAAAATCATATCACTACTGTTCATTAGAAGATTTTTAAGATATATTCCCATGGAAAACTTTGATCCCATATTGCGAAACCATTTTATCCCCGGGACTATAATTTGAACAGTAAAGAATTTGGACTATATCAAGAAGCTTAAATAGATGTACAAGTTTCATCTTTTCTGGACCAGTTGTTCTTTTAAAGATTTTTCGAATACATTTCCATGTAAATCTTCATCTTCTATAATCCCCAACAATAAATACTATAATTAACTATAGTTTACAATTGTATCGAAGTTTATACTATAGTACATCAAAGTTGTTACTAATCAAAATATTTTTTACTATGAATTTCAAACTGTTATATTTTCGTTTCTTATTTTATGTGTTTTATGTGAAATATTACTTGTATATTCACATATTATTTCCAAAATTTACATCACTGGTATTTGATTTGAGAAATATAAAGGTTCTAAGCTTGAAAAAAGTTCTGGAGAAAATAAAAGTATTTACTATGGTAAAGTATAGTCAACTATAATACTTTTTTGTAAGGGAATAGTTCCACCCCTTCCCTTTGGGCCATAATTTGAATAATTCAGAATCTACACTCAGTGAGAAAATTTACACACAAGTTTCATCTTTTCTGGCCTAGTGGTTCTTGATAAGAAGAAGTAAAAAAGTATAATGTTTACAGATGGACGGACATACAGACGGAACGCCGGACAACGGGTGTTCAGAAAAGCTCAATTGAGCTTACAGCACAGGTGAGCTAATGATTCTTTTCCTTAAAAGCAATCTTCTAAAATATATTAACCAGCCCTTGATATTGATCAATACCACTTGTGATCGTTTTTTTTTTTTTTTTTTTTTTTTTTTTTTTTTTTTTTTTTGCAAAAAATATATTGATTATTTAAATAGGTTACTTCAAATTCTATGTTAACTTATGAGATACTTAGCTCTTCATACAACAAAACCCACTTAACCGTTCTGCCAATATATCTATTTCCTTTGTATTAACACTTAGATTGAGTGGTTTGTGGAAGGCAATTTATGTTTTAATCCTTAATATTTTTAGTCCTCAATAATTTTTTGAATTCATGGTAAACAGATAGTCTTTGCATTTGAACAGACGTACTCTTTTTATTCCACTGTTACATGGCAAGAGGTAGCTTATACGACTAGCACCTCGCAGTTCGTGTACTGCACATTGCTAGACGTAAGAGTCAAACACAACAGACATCTGCATAGAAAAACTACGTCTCCATATATTTCTACTGATATCAATTAATACAACACTAAGCTTCAGATCCAAATAAAGACTCGTGATATATCTAAATGTTTAGTTGTAGGTCACAATAGGAGTTTCTCCTTCGCTTGTAGAAGTTAAACTCAGTCAACTGACAAATAAGTTGATATAATAAGGGCGCCACAAATCTCGTTTTAAGTCCATTTTGCAAATTCTATGGTCGATACAATGACCTTGCTTGAAAATACAATGTATTGTTAGGTCATATGTCGACTGAATTTTTGTTAGGCCATTATTTTCATTCTTTCATTTTGATACTGCACTGTTTACAGATTTCTCCGTTTACTCCGTTTGTAACAATGGTGTGACCGATCGAC